GGAGGGCAGACGAAGCACTCCTTGCCTCACATCTAGCCCTCAATTACTACTTATTAAGCACCTGCTGTGTACTAGGTACTGCCCTAGCACTCTCTTTTAGAGAAGTTTTAGGTTTACAGGAAAACTGAGCAGCAAGTGCAGAGTTCATATGCATTCCCTCCCCATTACCCGTGTACTCTATGCTCTCTTATTAACAGCTTGCATTAGGGTAGTTCATCTGTTGCACTTGATGAATCAATACTGATGCATCATTATTACCTAAAGTCCATAGTTTACATTAAGGTTCACTTTTATGTTACACGATCCTATAGAATTTAACATATGCATAATGATATATATCTACCATTATCATGTTATATGAAATAATTTTGCTGCCCTAAAATGCCCTGCAGCTGATCCATTCAACCTCCCCCCTCCTTCAAGCCCCTAGTATCCAGTGACTTTCTTTCTACTGCCTCTATTGGTTTTCCTTTTCCAGGAAAGTAGTTGAAATCACATGTGTAGCCTTTCTGGATTGGCTCCTTTCACTCACAGGTATGCATTTCAGTTTTCTCTATGTTTTCCATGGAATGATCACTCACTTGTTTTTAGCACTGAATAATATTTTATTGTATGGATACATCACAATCTATTTATCTATTCATCTATTGAAGAACACTTGGTTGCTTCCAAGTTTTTTGCAGTTATGAGCAAAGCTGCTATAAACATTCACACACAGGTTTTTATGTGGACTTAAGTTTACAGCTCATTTGGGTAAACACCAAAGCGTATAATTGCTGAATAGCATAGTAAAAGTAGTTTTGTAAGAAAATGCCAACCTGTCATTCAAAGTGGCTGTGCCATTTTGCATCCCACCAGCAGTAAATGAGAGTTCTTGTTATGCTTCCCAGCATTTGGTGTTGTCAGTGTTTTGGATTTTCGCCATTCTAATGTGTTTGTGCTGATATCTCGGTGTTGTTTTAATTTGCATTTCCTTAATGACACAGGATGTTGAACATCCTTTCATATGATTGTTTGTCATCTGTATATCTTTCTTGGTGAAATGTCTGCTCAGATTGATTTACCTGGGCTATTTTCTTATTATTGAGTTTCAGTGTTCTTTTGTATACTTTGGATATATGTTCTTTATCAGATTGGGTTTAGCAAATATCCTCTGCCACTTTGTTGCTTAGCTTTTCATTCTTTTAATATCCTAGCACTTGCCATGCCTACCTTTTCTCATTTGATTCTCCCACCATTCTGAGATCGAGATAGTATGGGTTTGTTTTGCTAAGGGAACAAAAGCTAAGAGAGATCAGTTGGGTTGCTACATGATGGAGCTACGATCTGTCTCCAGATCTGATCCCTGCCTGCTTCATATCTTTACATTACTCATTTAAAGTATATTCCTCTTGCCAGAGATCAGCCTAGATGGAGATGAATTTTGGTTATTTCATACCAAAACACCTTTCTGTGGGCCCAGAAAAGAGTCACTATTTGAATGCCCTACAGAGCCCAGCCTCCTACTCTAGTGTTACAGCCCTAATGCGGCGTGGTAATCCTCCTGTGCACCATCCCAGCCTCTTCTGCCCACCCCTCACACTTGGTGTTCCCAGGACAGCAAACTCTTTGCATCTTCTCCAGTGTGCTTGCTGTTTTCACATCTCTACCTTCACTCTTACTGTTCCCTCTAATGGAAAGACTTTCTCATTTTCAACTGACCAAGCCTCATGCACTTTTAATTCCTCATTCACGTGTCGCTACAGGAAGTCCTCTATTTCCTTCCTTGTAGACCTTGAAGTTTCACTTCTGTATATATTCCATCTCACCCACTAAATGGACAAACTCCTTAAGTGTGAGACTTGTTTTCAGTAACACTTTGTTTCCTTTGACTAACCTGGCACATAGTAGGTGCCAGTAGGTGTGCTCTTAATAGATGCACGAATAGAAGCTATTAGCAAACATCATCATCCTTTCAGATACCTAACGCCTCTATTTACCTAGAAGAAATGTTTGTTTCTTTGTTTCATTTTTAATTACTTTTGCTGTCAGATTTTAAATTTAACTGTATGTATGTGTATGTATGTATATATATATATATATATAT